TACTTGAAGATATACATTTTAAGTTACATTTCTGGCAAAACTGTGAACCATTTATCCTGGAAAACCTACCACTATAGAACATCTAGAAATGCCAGTTAAGCTGTAACAAACATCCTTTGCAATGCATACTTGAGTGTAAAAGAAAGTAAAGAGAAATTCCAAAACATACAGATTGGAAAGCAGTGAGATGGGCTGGAGTTACTGAGAGCGGTATCTGCACTGAGACCTTTTGTGTATCTCAGGAAAACCCAGATTTAACAATCTTTAGATCCACATCAAGTATGTAGTTGGTCCTGAGAACCTTGAATAAAGGTAAAACATTTGAAGAGCTACATCCTCAGTGAAGGAGTAGCAAAGAGAAAAAAAAAAAACTTAACTATCTTGATCTGGGGTCTGAGTGATAAACAAGTGTCCCTAGAGAATTTTTAACCACAAGCTTGCCCTCATACAGGGTTAGGCTTAAAATTTACAATCCCTTTATGATCTAGAGACTTGAAACCAATACTACTAACATAAAATAGTGGAGGTTGGTAGTAATCTGGATCTCCAAGCAGAAATAAACACAGATATTCTCTGTAGGGACTCACCTTTAATCTAGGCAAAGTATAAAATAGAAGAGATTTATAAACCAAATTACACTAAAATTAAGAACTTCTGTTCATGGGAAGACACTATAATAGGAGTGAAAAGACAAGCCATATACTGAGAGGTGGGAGAAGATATTTACAACACAACCAAAATAGAACTAGTATCTGGAATATATAGAGAACTACTCTGAATCAATAAGAGGACAAACAACTCATTAGAAAAAGATGAACAAAAGACTTAAATGGACACTTCTTCTCTTAACAAAAGAGGATCCACAAACACATGAAAAAATGTTCAATTGCATTAGTAATCACAAAAATGCAAATTAAAGTTATATTGAGGTACCATTACATACCTGCTGGTTTGACAAAAAATAGAAAATTTGACAATAATATGTGTTAGTGAGGATATGGAACAACCAAAATTTTCATCCTCTGCTAGTAGAGTGTATATTGCTACATTTATTTTGGCAAACAGTTTGGTATTATCTAGTAAAGGTAAAGAGTTACACATCCCATGATCTAGCAATGCTATTTCTAGGTACAGATCCTTGAGAAATGCTTATATATGTTCACAAAGAGACAAACAAGAATGTTATTAATAGCATTGAGCATTTTTTACAGATTGAAGGTCTGTGTCAACCCTGTGCTGTGCAAGTCTATCAGTGCCATTTTTCCAAAAGCATTTGCTCACTTTGTGTCTCTGTGTCACATTTTGATAATTCTTGTAATATTTCAAACTTTCAAGTTATTATATTAATTATCTGAGGTATTATATATTATTATATTTATTATTATATAATTATATATTATTATTTTATTTATTATCACAGATAATGTTATCTGTGATTAGGGATCTTTGATGTTACTATTGTAATTGTTCTGAGGCCCCACAGATCACACTCACATAAAACAGGGAACTTAATCGATAAAGGTTGTTTGTGTTCTGATTGCTACACAGATGGGTCATTCCTTTGTCACTCTCCCTTTCCCTGGGCCTCCCTATTCCCTGAGACATAACAATATTGACATTTGGCTGACTACTAACCCTACAATAACCTCTAAGTGTTCAAGTGAAAGGAAGAATCACATGTCTCTCACCTCAAATCAAAAGCTAGAAATGATTAAGCTTGGTGAGGAAGGCATGTCAAAAGCCAAGATAGGCCAAAAGCTAGGCCTCTTGTGCCAGTTAGCCAAGTTGTGAATGCAAAGAAAATGTTCTTGAAGGAAATTAAAAGTGCTACCCCAATAAGCACGTGAATAGTAAGAAAGTGAAACAGCCTTATTGCTGATAATGGAGAAAGCTTTAGTGCTCTGGATAGAAGATCAAACCAGCCACAACGTTCCCTTAAGTCAAAGCCTAATCTAGAGCAAGGTCCTAATTCTCTTCCTATGAAGGCTTAGAGAGGTGAGGAAGCTGCAGAAGAAAAGTTTGAATCTAGCTCAAGTTGATTCATGAGGTTTAAGGAACCATCTCCATAACATAAAATTCAAGGTGAAGTAGCAAGTGCTGATATAGAAGATGCAGCAAGTTATCCACAAGATCTAGCTAAGATCATTTGTGAAGGTGACTACACTAAACAACAGATTCTCAATGTAGATAAAACAGCCTTATATTGGAAGAAGATGCCATCTAGAACTTTCATAGCTAGAGAGGAGTCGTCAATGGTTGGCTTCTAATCTTCAAAGGCCAGGCTTGACTCTCTTGCTAAGGGCTAATGCAGCTGATAACTTTAAGTTGAAGCCAATGCTCATTTACCATTCTGAAAATCCTAGGGCCCTTAAGATTTACATTAAACCTACTCTGCCTGTGCTCTATAAACACCCCCTAGATGACAACACATCTGTTGACAACATGGTTTACTGAATATTTTAAGCCCACTGTTGAGACCTACTGCTCAGAAAAAGATTCCTTTCAAAATATCATCGACAATTCATCTGATCACTCAAGAACTCTGATCGAGATGTACAATGAGATTCATGCTGTTTTCATGCCTGCTAACATGACATTCATTCTGCAGCCCATGGATCAAGGAGTAATTTCGACTTTCAAGTCTTACCATATAAGAAATACATTTTGTAAGACTATAGCTGCCTTAGATAGTGATTCCTCTGATGGATCTGGGCAAAGTAGATTGAAAGCCTTCTGGAAAGGATTCACCACTCTAGATGCCATTAAGAACATTCATGATTCGTGGGAAGAGGTCAAAATATTAACATACACAGGAGTTTGGAAGAAGTTGATTCCAACCTGCATGGATGACTTTGAGGGTTTCAAAACTTCAGTGGAGGAAGTACCTCCACTTGGAAACAGCAAGAGAACTAGAATTGGAAGTGGAGCCTGAAGATGTGACTGAATTGCTGCAATCTCATGATTAAACTTTAATAGATGAAGAGTTGCTTGTTATGGATGAGGAAAAAAGTGGTTTCTTGAGATAAAACTTACTCCTGGGGCTTCCCTGGTGGCGCAGTGGTTGAGAGTCTGCCTGCCAATGCAGGGGACACGGGTTCGTGCCCCGGTCTGGGAAGATCCCACATGCCGCGGAGCGGCTGGGCTCGTGAGCCATGGGCGCTGAGCCTGTGCGTCCAGAGCCTGTGCTCCGCAGCGGGAGAGGCCACAACTGTGAGAGGCCCACGTACAGCAAAAAAAAACAACAAAAAAACTTACTCCTGGAGAAGATGCTATAAAGAGTGTTGATATGACAACAAAGGATTTAGAATATTACATAAAATTAGTTGATAAAGCAGTGGCAAGGTTTGAGAGGATTGATTCCAATTTTGAAAGAAGTTCTACTGTGGGTAAAATGTTATCAAACAGCACTGCATGCTAAAGAGAAATCATTCATGAAAGGAATAGTCAATCAATGTAGAAAACTTCATTGTTGTCTTATTCTAAGAAACTGCCATAGCCACCCTGGCCTTCAGCAACCACCACCCTGATCAGCTGTCAACATCAAGGCAAGACTCTCCACTAGCAAAAAGATTACCACTTGCTGAAGGCTCAGATGATGCTTAGCATATTTTAGCAATAGTATTTTTAAATTAAGGTATGTACACTTTTTAGACATTATGTTATTGCACATGTAATAGACTACAGTAATAACTTTTATATGCACTGGAAAACCAAAAATTTTGTGTTACTCACTTTACTGTGATATTCACTTTATGTGGTGGTATTTGGAACCCAACCTGCAACATCTCCAAGGTATGTCTGTATATAACATTTTTTCACCAAAGAACATGAGCAGGA